CGAACGCTCGGCTTGCCGTTTTTCACTTTAATGACTTTTTCAACAGCGTCTGCGACGTTTGAGCACGACCATTATTTCTCGGTTGCCAAAACGAACTGCCATGTTGGAAATAATGGCCAAAATAATGGCTTGATTCTCGATTTGCCAGGCTTGCCACCTTCGAGCCGTTACACCATGACTATTCAGTTAGATGATCAGTCAGCAAGGTTTATTTATTTTATCATTATTTATATTATCTATGATGAGATATTCTTTGATTCTTGATCATGTTTTCTCTTGATTTAATTTTCAAATTCCACCATTAATGTCTTTTAGGCGATTGTGTATCGTGCATTGTTAGAGTTTGCACCTTTTGTTGATTGTCACACTAAATGATCAGTAATAACATGGAATAAGGCGAATTGTAACTCTACGGGTAGCTCACATCATACCTCATGACGGAACGGGTGTGGTATGCTCACATTAAAATTCAGCGTTATTTATATTGTTTGGGGCACAATAGCACGGTGGCCAGAGATCAGCGCCGAACCGCCTGGACATCGAATCCAGAGAGAGGAAGACAGTTTTTCTTGACTACTAATTTCTTGACCAAAAAATTCACCTCATGTTGCTTCATACCAGAACTGACTCGAACTGCGATCCTCTTTAATGATTAGTGAACATGTTAGAGGTACAAATTACCATGACTCATTTCATTAGTGTGATAATCAGCATAAGGTGTAAATCCAAGAAAGGGATCACGACTTGTTCTACCTGTCTTACTTGTTTCTCGGCTGAATACAAGGTGTAAGTGACTCCAAACAGTCAGCGAACAAGGTTCATGTGAAAAAGCTTCAACAGAAAAATGTTCTTTCTATTTTTCACTACAATTTGCCATCATAGCATTTGTCTGGGATAACGGGAAGACTGTTTGGGTCAGCAGTAATGAAAAAACGTGAAATTGAACTAATAAAGTCTTGCATGCGATTGGCCTGGCGAGAATAATCGGAGGAATACCAAACCGCAGCAGCATT